TGAGGTGTCTACAATAAGTCCCACCAACTATGGTAGTGGTAAAAGTGGTTATAAAATTTGTTTCAAATTGGATGTCTAACAACATAATCACCAAATTTTATCTCAACCTAATTTCTACAAAAGGTATAATCAATTGCATTAAATTGTAACATGGTAAGAAATTCAAATTTTTTATTTTTCGTTGTTAAGGAAAATAGAACTAAATGACCAAATTATCAATATAAGTGTGAAAACAATAACTACATGGGCAATTTGCCTTTAAAATTAAAGACCAAACATAGCACTCAACTACTACAATTAAGCTTTTTCATATCAGGGCAAAAGACTGATAGTCAGATTTATGCAACATATGAAATTCATTCAATGAACTTGCAAACTTCACTCCTTTTTGGCACAACATCCCTATTAGCATCTATACTGTATCTGAGATTCTATCTCTCTCTCTCTCTCTCTCTCTCTTCTCTTCCAAAACACTCACAATCAGTGGATATGTTTTAAATTCTTATTCCTGAGATTCTCATGTAATCCACTAATTATGAGTGTTTTTAAGGACGAATAACAAACATTTAAGAACATAGGATCTTTCACCACTACAATTCAAGTTGGAGAAAGGAGAAGAACAACACAACAATACCCAAAACAAAGATATTAAAATACTTGGAAAAAATACGAGTAGTAGTAGCGAAGTGGCATGAATGAAATTAAACTAGTAGCCCTCAAGGATTCGCATGAGCACATTACCTCTCTTGGGAGGCAGGGTGGGTCTCTGGCTGGGCTGGAGGAGGGATTTGTAATTTTACATTTTTAGTATTCTTATCACTTATCAAAAAACACAATTTGTAATAAAGTAAGAGGGATGGACAAACTTGTGTATTACAAAACCAGTCATTTTTTCTCAAAAGAGTAAACAATCTTTTCAACAAACTCAAAGGAGTCCTTTTCATCTTCTTGTGCTGCAGAATATATATATATATATATATATATATATGTATGTATTTATTAAAATCCTTTCTAAACTATTTCAAAACACATTTCTCTGTACTTGCTAATACTAAATACACCATCAACAAATAAAATTCTACATCAAAAACTAAAATAAAACACATTTTCTAACTACTCAAAGTAGTATTGTGGCTTAAACATAAATCCAATCAAAACTAGAAAAGAGTAACAAATAGAATTTAGACCTGATATTTGTAGATCTGGTCAAAGAGATAGAAGATCTGATAATAAGATCTAGGTCTCTTGATCTTTAAATTCTACTTATGACCCATCTCGATTATATTAGCCGCTGTTTTTCCGAAGACATTGACACTGCACTCGAAACCCCAGACAAAATTCATTGCCATGAATGAGAAGACCTTTCCATGTATCCCATTGCATGGACTAGAAAGAGCAAGAGACCACAAACGAAGAGGGCTGACAACTATTTCTCAAAAAGTTTGGATATGTTTTTCTTGTAGGTTGAGCGATGTGAGCCATGTAATCCCCTTTCTAAATGGTGGGTTGAGTGAAGAGAGCTCAAAAATTAATTCTCTAAATTGTGGGTTGAGGGATGTGAGGTCTACAATGAATGTTTTTTCTAACCTTTACTATATACTATATATTTTATGTGCAGGTTAAGGGTGCTTACTATGCTAATACAGAGTTTCTGAGTTGTGGGTTAAGTGAAGTGAGGAAAATATTGGAGTGGAGTGATATCATTATATGTGGGTTGAGTGTTGGGAGCTTCTATATAGTTTGTTTTCTTTTTCTGTTGATTTCTGATTGCATGGACTGTCTTGGTGTTGCTTATCTATGGACAACTATTGGTCATGGTTACTTGATTCGGGTTTGGTGGAGTGGTGGTGGCTGCAAGTTGCACCCTTTCAGGAGGTTTATTTCAACTGATTCACATGGGTTTGAACATGTTCTTAGTGGTGGCTGCAACCTGCGCCTTATCAAGTAACTTGTATGGGTTTTCCTAATTGTCTTCCTTTCTTTCCGTTTTATGATGTCATTTTTACTCTAGTTTTTTTACTCTATTTCCTACCTTTACGGGCTGTGTAGGGGGTTTTATTTTCGTTTTGCTTGGGTTGGTAGGGTGAATAGGGCTGCTAGTGCAGTGTTTTGTGTTATATTTTGATGTATTTGTGGTGTTGGCAGTTGGTTACTGAATCTTATTCAGGTCTTTTATCCACTGTGGATGGACATGGTGTTTAAATAGCTGTTTGGGTACAGGTGCTATTACGTGGCTGTAGATGGCTAGTGGTTGCTTCTTATTATTGGCTACATAGTGTTGGTTTCATAGCTGTAGTTTGTGTAATAGTTTTTCTTTTCTTTTCTTTTGTTTGTGTTGGTGGTTTGTATAGTTGTGGTAGGGCTTGGGGCATGCCCCTTGTAAATTTGTAATTTTTCTGTTTCATTTTATGTCTTATTCACCCAAAAAAAAAAAAAAAAGCAAAAGCAAAAATGCCCTGTTTTCATTTTATGTCTTAAAGAAGCAATGACAGGTCTTGAAGCACCTTTGTGAAAAGTGGCTGTTAATAATGAAATTGAATCCACTATGCAAAATCATACTTGGGAATTGGCGGATCTTTTACCTGGTTCTAAACCTCTTGGATATAAATGGATATTCAAGAGAATAATGAAAGTAGATGGTTCAATAGACAAGTATAAAGCGAGACTTATCGTAAAAGGTTACAGACAAAACGAAGGTCTAGACTATTTTGACACATATTCCCCTATGAGAAGAATAGCATCCATTCGCATGCTTATTGCTATAGCAGCGTTGTATAATTTAGAAATACATCAAACAGATGTTAAGACAGCTTTCTTAAATGGTGATCTAAATGAAGAGATCGATATGGAGTAACCCGAAGGAGTTGTGGTTCCAGGGCAAGAAAAGAAAGTTTGTCGGCTTGTAAAATCTCTTTATAGATTAAAACAAGCACCTAAGTAATGGCATGAAAATTTTGATCATGCTATACTTACTAATGGGTTTAAGATAAACGAATGTGACAAGTGCATCTATGTTAAAAACACTGACAAAGGTTATCTCATCGTTTGTCTTTATGTGGATGACATGCTTATCATTGGAAGCAATCAAAACATAATCAAATCAACTAAGCAAATGTTGAACAAAAGATTTGATATGAAAATATGGGGGTCACAGATGTAATATTAGGAATGAAAATTACTAAAACATCTGATGGATATGCATCATCTCAATCTAATTATATTGAGAGAATTCTTGGTAAATATATCAATGATGATATGAATGTAGCAAGAACACCTGTAGACATCAGTCTTTATTTATCAAAAAATAAAAGTGATACCGTGTCTCAGCTAAAATACTCTCAAATCATTGGAAGCCTAATGTACCTAATGAATTGCACTCGTCCTGATATAGCTTATGTTGTCAGTAAATTGAGTAGGTACACTAGTAATCCCGGAGAAGACCATTGGAAAACGATCATTTGGGTTCTTAGATATCTAAGATTTACCTATGATCATGGTTTGAACTTTACTCGATATCCAGCAGTACTCGAAGGCTATTGTGTTGCAAATTGGTATCGGATACTAAAGATTCAAAATTCACTAGCGGCTATGTCTTTACTCTAGGAGGCGTTGCTGTTTCTTGGAAATCCACGAAACAAACATACATCGCATGACCCACAATGGAATCTGAGTTCATTGCTTTAGACAAAGCAGGAGAAGAAGTAGAATGGCTTCGGCACTTCTTAGAAGAAATTCCAACGTGACCAAAACCTATGCCATCTATTTGCAATCATTGTGATAGTCAATCCTCAATAGGCAGAGCACAGAGTCATATGTATAATGGTAAGTCATGACATTTTTGTCATCGACATAATACTGTAAGGCAATTGCTCTCAAATGGAATAATCTCAATAGATTATATAAAATCTAAAGAGAATATTGCAGATCCGTTAACAACAAATTTGACAAAGAGAAAGTGTATAGTTCATCGAAGGGGATGGGATTAAAGCCTATTACATAAGAGTCATCATAATGGTAATCCTACTTATATGACTGGAGATCCCAAGAACTAAGTTCAAAGGGACAACTAAGTTATGTGTGGCTTGCCAGAAATCCCCAAGAGATTAAAATTCATTACCCATTCCTATGGTGAGAGTGATATCTGCAACATTTGTTGTTTGTAGGGGTATAAGGATAAGCTTTTCTTTTAATGATTACTTATATCTTGAATAAGGCATAAAATCAAGACGAGTATAAGGAGATACTCGCAATAAGAATTACCTATATGAGTCTTGAACTGGGGTCGGTTCTATGAGAATAAGGAGACTGAATTCTCTAGAAGCACTCATGAACAACTAGGAGCGTTCAAGGCCAAAATGAACATAACCGTGACAACCACGATGTGTCAGAAGATATTTTGTGTGAAATCTATTGTCTTGGCTTACATAAACGGCTGAACAATTCAATGCATCGCGTCCATTAGTTAGCTAGTAAGTCCGATAGGTTATCACTAAAGAAGGTTCAAAACCGAAAGCTACCTACCCTGATAAAGATATTTTCGATTTATACTCTTTCAACAAATTCTGCATATTGTTTTATTTTCGTTGTCATCAAATTCTATTCATGTGGGGGATTGTTAGAAATGGTTTTGGGAAAAATAGATTTTTCCTCAAATTTGGTCTATTTTTTAGATAGAACCTATGTTGTAACGACCCCAAAATCTGTATTAGAGATTACCTTTACGGCCTTATGGGTTAATGCATTTTGATTTATTGATATGCGTTCAAATTGAGGAATTATCTGTTGAGTCATGGCTGTAAAATTGAAATTACCGACCTTTACAGATTCAGAAATCACAATTGAGGACTTGGATGTGTTAATGGAAATTTTTAGAACTATTTGGGAAACTTAATTGGAAATCTAATTTGTCTGATTTGTTAATGTACGTTTGGGTGGTTAACTTGGTACTGCAAATTGAAGGCCTTAGAGGCTTCAGAAACCAGAATAGGGGACATATTTATGATCATCATAATTTTTAGAGTCATCTGGAAAGTTTAATTGAAATTTAATTTTTCGCGATTCGTAAGGGCGTGTTTGGCCCTCCTTATTTGTGATAAAGCTTGTATAATTAAATATATAGGTGTGTATGAGTTATATAAGTGGTGAACTCATACTTTTGGAGTCAAAAAACAAAATATCTAAAGAGAGAGAGAGGAAACCGTGAAAGGGAGAGAGGGAAGAGAGACAACTTTCCCAACATCCATGGAGGCTTTGAAGATGATGGAAGAGAATTGAAGGAAAAGAAAGAAGATCACCCATGGGACTTGGAGGAATTGAAGAGAGCTAAGAGATAGACAAAGATTAAGTTAGGTATGAAAATCTATCTTGAAATCTTGTGTTTAAAGTATCAATTTGGTAAAATCATAGAGATCTTGGAAGATTTAAACCCATTTGGGGTTAAGGTTTATCTATGCATTTACTTGAGCTAATTTAAGGAATTAGAAATTGAGTTCTCTAATTTTGTTTATGAGTGGAGCTCAGGCTCATGGATATCATGAAATAAACTTTAGATTATGCAAGAATCATGTGAATTTGTGGGTTGTGGGTTGTGTTTTTAAGAACCTTGAAGATCATGAAAGATTAAGCATTAATCTTGAACTTTGAGACAAAGATTGAATTGTTTGAAATGAAATTATACTTGGTTGATGTTAGTTTATCATGTTATAGGGAAATTCTACATGTTTTTGAGTGATTTATGTTAAGAACCAAGCTTAAAAATGGAAAAACCAAGTGTTGGAGCAAAAAGAGCCATTTTCGGACTGCACATTGCCCAGAGCCGCACGTGCGGCTCTGTTTCCCGCACGTGCGGGAGAAAGCTTTGTCCAGCCAACTTTGAATAAGCATATCTTTTTCCTCAGGACTCCGTTTTGAGTGATTCTTGAGCCTAAAATCAAGCCCCCGAAGTCTAGTTTCCAATGGAAGTAATCTCACTCCCAAATTCTAAATAAAAAAATAGTTATTCCCAAATTAGTGACGACTATTCACTTTCTGTCAACTAATTTTATACCATTTCTTCACCTAAACCATTTCCCATTGATTTCTCTTGTTTTCTGAGACATGGAGTATAACTTATTAAGGAATAATGAGCTTGGTACCACCATGGCTAATTGATTGAATGACCAAAGAGAATAAGTAAATGATCGAGTATAATCTCATATTATGTGTTGTGCACTGTACTTGTAGGTCGAGACGAGGACATCGTCCTATTACTACCGGGAGCTGATCACTGTGAGTAGTAGTACGGTAGTCGTACGTTCAATTATCGTTAATGATTTTTATCATTAATATGCTATTCCTTGCAAGTAATTAAGTTAACAATGTGTCGATTGGAAAATCTAGAGGCATTATTGAGCGGTATTACTGTTGACAAAGAAGACTAACATTCTGTTATTTGCAAGATAGCTATAGTGATTCATGATGAACAAAGGGAACGTATAAGAACTATGGAACCATGGTATTCACGTATTTCTGAAATCATTCAATCTGTAAATGTGCTTAGCTCTCATTAATAATTATCAGGAATGTCCTGTTAAACTTAAGTTAACTATGTTAACTCATGTGAATGATGTAACGGCTACCATTCGTACTCTGTTAAGTACAAGTCAACTATAGTAACATCTATGAACAATCAAACAAAGGTGTATGCTTCTATATGCTATTAATAGATCAAATGAACTACGTCATTTCTTAACGAATAATTAGTTAAGACCACGGATTGTTTTATACGTTAATACCTGCTAAGCATTATGATAAACAATGGATTGATTTACGGATGACTCAACCTGAAGACAGAATTAAATATCAATGACCTTGTCATGTGACTCACGTTATGATGTAAATTGTTCTGTCTTTGTTAAGTGTACTGTAATGACATGATATAACAAGAAATGCTCTATGTTCTGATATGTTACGTTTTGACTTAATGAACAGTTGTCCATATATGTAAAGTATTCATGACATCCGTAGCACACGGCCCTTACCCGGGTGTAATAATACCGTGGTTCAAGGATGTTACAAGTTTACGTATGTTACAAGTTTACATATGTTACAAGTTCAAGTATGTACAAGTTTAAGTATGTTACAAGTTCACGTATGTTATAAGTTCTCAGTATCGGGGGATTCCTTTATGGAACTAACAAGAATGCTTTATATTGATTTGTTAGCGCTAGCGAAGTGCCAAGTATAATCAAGTATGAATTCTGATTTCTGTTTATGATTCAAGTGTAATGCATATGTATGATTTTGTTTCCGTTTATGGTATGACATGATATGTATGGTTTGGTCTGTAAGACCCATTAATTACTGGTATGGAACAAAGTGCTACTTGGAACTAAGTGCTACATTGTGAGCCACCTCTAGAGTCCATGTGAGACACCTCTTGAATCCATACATATATGAACTAGGCTTAAAGCCAATCTGGGCCTATGGCCATTCTATATGATCTATTAGGCTAGAGGCCATTCTGTATTTTTGGTATGGAGCAACGTGCTGTACGGAACTAACTGCTGCAGTGCGAGTTACCTCTAGAATCCGTACGAGCCACCTCTTGAGTCCATACATATGTGAAAGTTATGAGGCTGAAAGCTGTTCTGTGAAAGCTATGAGGCCTATGGCCATTTTGTATGATCTGTAAGATCTGTTAGTATGAAACAAAGTGTTGTACAGAACTAAGTGCTGCAATGCGAGTCACCTCTAGAATCCGTGCGAGCCACCTCTTGAGTTCGTACACACAAGTTCAAGGGCTTAATGCCAACATGTGCAAAGGCTCAATGCCAACACGTTTAAGGGCTTAATGCCAATATGTTCAAGGGCCTATTGCCACTCTGTTCAAGGGCTTAAAGCCATTATGTTTCAAGAGATTATGTTTTAAGTCATTATGTTTCAAGATTAGGCCTAAGGCCGTTATGAAATTAGTGCAGAATCAATTAACCTTATGCCCTCTTTATTTATGTATGCATTGATATGTATTATACTTCAAGTTGAGAATTGAATCATTTATGTACTATTATTCATTGAGCTTCGCTCACTTTGTGTTATGTCTGTTCTGTAGGTAATTACTTTGGGAGTCCGTCTTGACCCTTGATGCTAACCCTCCAATTGTCAACCTCAGTATGCCCAGACTCCTAGACTAAGCCCATGCATTTATGTGAAGTTTTGTTAAGATTTTGGCTTGCACTTTAATTATTTACTTAAGGTTAAAATGTATGTATATACCCCATTTCTTTACCAATGTTCGGATATACGCTCATTTATATGTATGGGTATGTATATAGATAAATGGCTCTCACGTATGTGATCCCGGCATGCTAGTTTTAGCTCAATGGATGTTATTCTATGTTACTTTGTAATATTAAATGCTTCCATTCGGGCCCCATATATTATGTATATCAGGTTATGTGTCCGTATCTGTATAGGTCATGCCCGAACTTTTAGGGGTGAGTTTGGGGCGTGACAAGTTGTATCAGAGCACGAGTTGCTATCTCACACACGAATCCATTGGGCTTTAGGATGTCTAGAAAAGACTTAGGTATCATGCATGACATCCTTATTGCATATGAAAGGAAATGATGGCAACGTTAAATGTAATCTGTTAACGCTAACGATTATGATCCATGTCTATTGTACATTTCTTGTGTATATTGGAATTAATTGTTGAGCAGAACATGACAAGAATAAGGATAAAGGATCAGGAGGATTCTACCTCCGTCTGGTTAGACAGAATGAAAAGGAAAAATGCTTGGTAAGGCAACTTTTTTTTTTAATGCAAATAATTAAGTAAAATGTATGTTATCAGTGGTTTTTTTTTTTTTTTTTTTTTTAACTGATAGTTGAATTTTTTAAATACTAAGTATGGAATATGTTTAAGACCAAAGAAAATGATATATGTGATACTCTAACTTTTATGATATAGTTATGTCTTGTAGTAATGTTTGGACCCATGATTTTGAAAAACTATTGTGTTAGGTATTTTGATAAGTTGTGTTTTACATGATAGTTGAATTATATTAAGTGTAACCGGCTGTAAGAGAAGGTTATGTATCAGTACTCCCCCTTTGAATTGTGTAAAAGGTTAATTCAATATAATCTGTTTTGTTATGTGAAATTTGTAATCCGTAGTCAGGATTTTGTAGAAAGAATGATTGAACGACATGAAGAACTTTACCCACATTATGTATCCGCCTACATGAGACTTGTAAAGAAGAGGCAGTTAAAATCCTCTTTCTGTATATCAATGACTTATGATTGAGAAACCATTTTTGTGAAATATTTTTATGTAAATATGCAAATGTTCGATATTACAAATTGCTACTTTGGTCCTCTATTTTGTATTGGAAGCTATAATATGAACTGTTATGTATGATGAGGTAAACTTTGTTCAAAAGAAAGGACATGGAGATATTCTATATTGATGGTACCGATATGTACCCCACTCATGATATGATTACGAATTGACTTACTGTCATATTGAACTAACCTTGCTAAGAATACGAACTCTGATATTAATGGTCAAATCATTTTATTGCTATATTATTGAATTCCTAAACATTATGGAATCTGGATGGACGTGATTACTGGCTATTGCTGACCCAAGGTAATTATAAGTTGTGAATGCGAAACCATGTGGTTGATCTCGTGTTTGATAGTAGGAAAAGAAAAAACCATCTAAATAGTGGGATATTGTAACGATTAAAAAGAGGCCAAATTAATTTGTGTTGTCACAAGAAGAAGTGATAAGTTAATTCTGATTATGGTTATGGTTATGGTTATGGTTAGGAATCTGATTTGAAGTGATAAGTTAATTCTAATTATTTTAGCCTTCATTGAAGTTGAGGATTTGAGCCTGACTTTGAATATTCAAAATTTAGACCTCACTTATCATATCTGTTATGGAAGTAAAGCGCTTGAGGATACTTCAAAGTACTGAAACCATGGTTTTGAATATTTAATTTATCAGTGAGCAAGGGTTATAAAGTCGTTAATGTAGAACTCATTTATTTATTCCAGGCCAAATTGTTGTAGCATGTTTGTACCATCGGGAACCCGATTGAGTAATGAACGCTTCCTTAACCTTTGAGGAATTATGATAACGAGGGTTGTTGTGAACCTAAAGAATTTGAATTATGTTTGATAGCTTATGAGTCGCATGCAATCGAATACTCAAATGAATTCATTTCTGTAAATTGAAATGTACAAGATTCATGAATAATGAGATGATGTTTTGATGATATTGAGTATTTTTATTAATTGGGTTACCAATTAGCTAATAAAGATGAATTACTTGTGACTCTTGGAGCAAACTCCATTGAAATTGACTATATAGGATTGTGAATTGTTAAATAATTGAGAAGTGTTGTATACCCAAGACGAAACTGGACTTGTGGCAGGGTGAATCAAGTTTGGAGGACCAAACTTTTTAAGGTGTGGAGGATGTAACGACCCCAAAATCCGTATTAGAGATTACCTTTACGGCCTTATGGGTTAATGCATTTTGATTTATTGATATGCGTTCAAATTGAGGAATTATCTGTTGAGCCATGGCTGTAAAATTGAAATTACCGACCTTTACAGATTCAGAAATCACAATTGAGGACTTGGATGTGTTAATGGAAATTTTTAGAACTATTTGGGAAACTTAATTGGAAATCTAATTTGTCTGATTTGTTAATGTACGTTTGGGTGGTTAACTTGGTACTGCAAATTGAAGGCCTTAGAGGCTTCAGAAACCAGAATAGGGGACATATTTATGATCATCATAATTTTTAGAGTCATCTGGAAAGTTTAATTGAAATTTAATTTTTCGCGATTCATAAGGGCATGTTTGGCCCTCCTTATTTGTGATAAAGCTTATATAATTAAATATATAGGTGTGTATGAGTTATATAAGTGGTGAACTCATCCTTTTGTAGTAAAAAAAAAAAAAAATATATCTAAAGAGAGAGAGAGGAAACCGTGAAAGGGAGAGAGGGAAGAGAGACAACTTTCCCAACATCCATGGAGGCTTTGAAGATGATGGAAGAGAATTGAAGGAAAAGAAAAAAGATCACCCATGGGACTTGGAGGAATTGAAGAGAGCTAAGAGATAGACAAAGATTGAGTTAGGTATGAAAATCTATCTTGAAATCTTGTGTTTAAAGTATCAATTTGGTAAAATCGTAGAGATCTTGGAAGATTTAAACCCATTTGGGGTTAAGGTTTATCTATGCATTTACTTGAGCTAATTTGAGGAATTAGAAATTGAGTTCTCTAATTTTGTTTATGAGTGGCGCTCAAGCTCATGGATATCATGAAATAAACTTTAGATTATGCAAGAATCATGTTACTTTGTAATATTAAATGCTTCCGTTCGGGCCCCATATATTATGTATATCAGGTTATGTGTCCGTATCTGCATAGGTCATGCCTGAACTTTTAGGGGCGAGTTTGGGGCGTGACACATGCACCAAAGTTGGCAGGTCTAAGTGGTAACGCGCTCTATGTCGCGTTATGATTCACGTAGTATATTTGGTGGCTCAAAACCATTATCGGGTGAATAAGAAATTGAAGCCAAAGTGAGCTCCATGGAAATAGAGTTTTTGGTGGAGATTCCTTAAAGGTTTGAATTAAAGGCTTGTCCCACATTGTTTTGGTAAGCAAACTTTTGTGGGTTTATAAGGCTTGAGTTTGGAACTTGGGAAGGGCCCCAAAGGGTACCCAAGTTTTATGGAATGGTAAGGTCATGGGCAAAGTGGGTTAGACCCATTGGATCCAAAATAAACACACGCGCGCGCACCGCCGCCACTGTCCGTCTGGTCGGTCGGGTAAGCCGGCTGGGCTGGGGCGTGGGTACGCGGTGTGTGGTTGGGTTAGCCTTGTTCAACCCAATGCTTATCTTTTTTAGCCAAAAACATTTTGGATTTAATTTTTCTAAAATTAAATTCTTACCTTTTTTGAATTTAAATTTTGAAAACAATTCTGAAATGGTGTCCAAATTACTGCTACACTCAAATAAGTCCATATCTATCCAATATAAATTGAACAGATTCAGTTATCTGTTCAAAATTCAAACCGAGCAGGTTTGTATCTGTTGAAACAGTACCAAACAGGTTTGATTCAAAACCAAACCGGTCTTGTACTTGTTCAAACAGATCTGCTACCTATTGGATTCAAACCAAACAACCATCATTCTATTTATAAATAGGCAGTCCCTCATTTGAATTTTTCACTTGAATTTTCATCCTAAATTTTTCCTTTGCTCTCTCTGCATTTTGTTGCATTATTTTCCTGTGAGAAAGAGTATAAACACTTTGTGTGTTCGTTATACGAATGAATAATTTGTAGTACTCCTACTATTCGATGTTAATCATTTTATCCTGAGAGATAGACGTCCACAATCTGAAAGCACCGTGGAGAGGACGAATCTATTATAAGGACACAGTATTAAACACTAGACTTGATCAAAAATTTTGTTTGACAAATTAATAAGGTTAGTAATTGTTAGAAATGGTTTGGAAAATTCTGGGTAAAAACAAAAAATTTTCCGAACTTTGGTCTATTATTTAGGTAGGACCTGTACGCCAAAATTAGCGAGTCTAAGTGGTAACGCGTTCTTTGCCGCGTTGTGATTCACGCGGTATATTTGATTCCTCAAAACCATTGTCGAGTGAATGGGAAATTGAAGCCAAAGTATGCGCCATGGAAATAGAGTTTTTGTGGAAAATCCTTAAAGGTTTGAAAAATGGCTTGTCCCACATTGATTTGGTAGGAAGTTTTGAGTGGGTTTATAAGGTATGGGATTGGAACTTGGGGTGTGCCCCAAGGGGTACCCAAGTTTTGTAGAGATGGAGATTATGGGCAAAATGGGCTAGACCTATTGGAACCAAAAATCACCACACGCGCGCTGCCGCCGCCGCTGTCCGTCCGGGCGGTCGGGCGGGCAAGTGCGTGGTGTCAAGTTGGGTTGGGCTTATCCGGCCCAATACCAATCTTTTTAGGCCAAAAACATTTGAATTTAAATTTCATTTTTTGAAATAAAATCTGTCCAAGAATTCATTCCGAATTTATGTCCAGATTAATTTCAAAATTTTGAATTCAAAATTATTGCACCTCTTCAGAAATTTT